CAAATCATTTTTTAAAATAGTTGAATTTACGGACTGGGTCAGTCAATTTTTATGATTGCCAACTGTTAAAAAATCATTTTTGACGGCTAATTTAGTTTGTTGTCAGCAATATCGCTTTATTTTCTTAAAGTACAGGGTTCAGGCTTTAATTTGACTCCTATGACAAGTCTTTAGCACGTCGGATTTACCCGGTAAAAATTTACAAAAACAGCGAAAAACATGATTTTTGGAAATTTACCCCCACTTTTCTCAAAATCCTGACGTGATTGGGCAAGAACGGGTATACCTCACCGAAGGATTTCCGTCCTATTAGCGTCACATCTTTTATTCTAAAATTAGTTGAAAGACTGGTGATAGATATATCCGCAGTGAGATCTTAAAGCAGTATCCGCTACATGAAGATCAATATGCGTATAGAGCGGGATGCTCTACGGAAACAGCCCTGGCTAAAGCGGTTGACCTAATTGATGGACAACTACAAAACCAGGGTTTTGCAGTAGGTGTCTTTATGGACATAGAAGGGGCTTTTAGTCAGGCCTCTCCGAAGAACATTAAAAGGGCTATGATATCTTTTAATATTCCTACAGTAGTTGTTAATTGGACTTGTCATATCCCAGGCAGAAAAGTTGGAGGTGTGCCAGCACTAACGACCGGCATGGTACCGAACCGGTTGTAAAGTCGGACTTATGCCGGTACCGGCAAAAAGGTACCGGGCCGGATATGAAATAAATACCGGCCCGGTGGTAAATGTGGATTTGTACAGGTACTGGTAGTGTGTACCGGGCCGGTACTATAATTTACTTCTGTTTATATACCGCCGAAGGAGATTCGCCGGTGATAATAATTTTACCGGCCCAACACCGGCCCGGTACTATAATTTACTTCTGTTTATATACCGCCGAAGAAGATTTGCCGGTGATAATTTTTTTACCGGCCCAGCACCGGCCCGGTACTGTTATTTGGCTCTGTTTTATACCGCCGAAGGAGATTTGCCGGTGATAATAATTTTACCGGCCCAGCACCGGCGTAGTACCGGCCCGGTACTGTCATTTTGCTCTGTCTTATACCGCCGAAGGAGATTTGCCGGTGATAATATTTGTACCGGCCCAGCACCGGCCCAGCACAAAAATTTACTTAGTACTTTCTACTGGCACATAAGTTTTGCCGACAAAAATACTATTACTGGCCCAGTATCGTCCCGGTTGTTTGCTAATGTTAAACTAGCAGAAAAAGAATTAAAGAAGAGAAAAAAATTTAAAAATTAATTTATTAATTTAATTATTAATAATAAATTAATTAGTTAGTTATGCCAGAAATTATATTAATACCGGGTAGGTTGTTTATTGGTGCCTGCCCAGTATCTAGCCGGTGAATAGGGCGGTTATTATTATTTATAATTACTATTTTTATTTATTTATAATAATTTAAATTGAATTAAAATAAATTACAAAATACAAATACTGGCCCGGTACCGCACCGGTTGAATATTAGTGCCGACCCGGTACTGCTGACAGGTGGAATGTCGGTTGGACTTTATAAGCTCACTTTGTATTTACTTTCCATATGCAGGTTTAAGTTAGCGGATGAGGACTTTGCAGCCTCAGGGTCCTGAGTTCAATTCCTCGAGTCTTTAGATTTTTCTATAACTGTTTATGTTTCTCTGTTTCATCATTTAATATATTTACTGTTTCCAATTTAAAATTAATAATAACATTGATAATAATAATAATAATAATTAAACAATTAATCAGACTGAAATGTATTTTTTTAACCGGCCCGGTACCACACCGGTTGTTTTTTAGTGCCGGCCCGGTACTGTGTCAGATATTCATTAGTGCCGGCCCGGTACGGTTGCCGGATACCTACCGAAGTTATCATCCGGTAATTTACCGGTACTGCGCAGGTGGAATGAACACAGTTATGCCGGACCAGTACCTAGCCGGTTGTGCAGCTGGTAATAAACCGGCACTAAATGCCTTCCAACAATAACCGGGCCAGTACCGCCCCGGTTGATTATTCGGTACCGGCCCGGTACGTATGCCGGATACCTGCCGCAATTATCATCCGGCAATTTGCCGGTACCGAGACGGTAAAAATTACGGTCTTATGCCGGTACCGCCCCGGCACTTATAATCCGCCGTTTGTACCGGGGCGGTACCATCCCGGTCGTCAATTTCTACCTGGGATGTTGGAAAACAGGAGACGCATGCTTATTCCCGAAATCTTTTTTGACCAAATAGGTATTTGATATAAAACTACCCAGTAAGAAACAAAAAATTGAAAAGTATTAAAACGATTCTATTCTTTTGAATGCCATTTCTGTCCAATACTTTTCTATCCAGTGAGAGCAATATGAAAAGTAACGATATCAATCCTCTTGAATACCCAGTAAAAAAGCAAAGATTAAGAAGCATTAAAGAAATTCTATCCTTTTGAATACCATTTCTGTCCTATGCTTCTGAATTCCGCGACAGTTGTATAATAATATAATACTAATATTGTTGACATATAGAATGTTCAATTACTTTTAAATAACTGCACTCATGACTTTATTTGATATTTTAAAAAGAAATAATTATTAAATTACTAGCTCCTCCGACGGCCGTCTACGGTGCTAGTTTTTATATGTCCATTGTCCAAGTCCATTATTTCATTAATAATAATATTCAAATTTTTTCAGTTAATAATTTGCTTATTTATATTTGAAATGTTGACGTTTTTTTCGACAATGCAAAATAAGATTTATTATGAGTACTTTCTCTTAACAAAAATAAAATTTATATACATATTCGCGCTCTTTTTAAATAACATACGACTGCAGCGCCACCTTCACATGTACAAACCATTTTAAAAACACCCTTCTATTAAGATTTTACATTCTCATTGCCCATTCTTTACTTCGATACTTTTCGATACATTAGACCTTTCCACTCCATGTCTTTTTTAAGAAAGAATCAGTTAAGAGGGTTAAAAGTGTTTAAAGGTCTCTGAAATTTTTAGGTTATGATTTATTGTCTAACAGAATAAACGGCCCTGACTCGTTTAAATGACGTAAAATTGGTAAACAGTCAATTTTTCAGCAAGTTTTTCTTTGAACACAAACACTTTTTACAAAATCTGCCACTGTATGTATCTTATAAATTACAAAAATCCAGAAGATTGCTTGAATGCATGCAGAAACGCGGTTCCAATGAAAAATTGAAAAGTGATGTAATGACAGGCTGTAATAATTTCGGATGGGATTGGAAAGCATTCAGAAAAAAATTTTGTCTTTGTTAACAATTACAAACAGAATTGAATAGCATTCATTTTTAGACGAAACGTGGTCCTATCATGGTATAGAAAAGTATTGGACAGAAATGGCATTCAAAAGTATTGGATAATTTCTACTACACCATACAGAGTTTGAATTATTTCAATCCTTTTCAATTCCTCGCTTCTTACTGGGTACTTAACTTAAAATTCACATAATATGCACATTATTTGACATAAATTTCATTGCGCACAAAAACCATTTAACATAAATATCATTTGTCATAGAATTCATTAAACAGAAATATTATGTTACATAAAACTCAGATAACTTAATTCTCATTTGACATAAAAATTATGTAACATATATTTCTATTGACATAAAAATCATTTAACATAAATTTCTTTTAACATAAAACTCATTTAACGTAAATTTTATTTGTTATAAAATTCATTTGACATCAATTTCATTTGGCATAAATGTCATTTAACGTAATTCTCAATTGACATAACTATCATTAGACATAAAATTAGCTTGACATAAATTTCATTTGACGTGAATATAATTTAACATAATTATTATTTAACGTAAAATTAAATTTATATAAATTTCATTTAGCATAAATGCCATTTAACACAGGCGCGGATCCAGGGGGGCCACAGTGGCATGCCCCCCCCCGAGAATTCAAACTTCCTGGAATTTTTTAAATACAAATTTCATTCATAATTGGTCATCAAGCTAGCGTCTAGCAGATGGCCCCCCCTAGAACCTTGTCTGGATCCGCCCCTGATTTAACATAATTCTCATTAGACATAAAATTTACTTGACATAAATTTCATTTGATGTAAATCCCATTTAACATAATTTTGATTTGACATAAAGTTCATTTGATATAAAAGACATTTAACACAATTCTCATTTGTCATAAAAATCATTTAACAAAATTCTCATTTGACATAAAAATCATTTCACACAAATTACATTTTACATAAAAATATCGGTGCCAAATTTAAAAGTAACCAATTAGATATTATCAACAACATTGTGATTCGCCAATTTTGAAATTCGCGCCTATATTTCTAGGTCAAATGATCGTTATGTAAAATGAAATCTATGACACCTGAATTTTATGTCAAATGAGAATTATGTGTAATGACTTAACCGTCAAATGAAATTGATATCAAGTGAACTTTATGTCAAATGAAAATTATGTTAAATGGGATTTATACCAAATGAAATTTATGTCAAGTATATTTTATGTCAAATGAGAATTATGTTAAATGGAATTTATATAAATTTAATTTTACGTTAAATAATAATTATGTTAAATTATATTCACGTCAAATGAAATTTATGTCAAGCTAATTTTATGTCTAATGATATTTATGTCAAATGAGAATTACCTTAAATGACATTTGTGCCAAATGAAATTGATGTCAAATGAATTTTATAACAAATAAAATTTACGTTAAATGAGTTTTATGTCAAAAGAAATTCATGTTAAATGATTTTTATGTCAATAGAAATTTATGTTACATAATTTTTATGTCAAATGGGAATTAAGTTATCTGAGTTTTATGTAACATAATATTTCTGTTTAATGAATTCTATGACAAATTATATTTATGTTAAATGGTTTTTGTGTGCAATGAAATTTATGTCAAATAATGTGCATATTATGTGAATTTTAAGTTAATAAGTTTTATATCAAATAACTATTTGGTTAAAAAAGATTTCGGGAATAAGCATGCGTTTCGTTCTTTTTCCTCTGCTTTGGTCTCTGGTAGTGGACGACCTACTGAGACTCCTAACTGAAGCAGGATATCATGCAATTGGTTACGCAGATGATATTTTGTTAATCGTTCGTGGTCTCCACCTTGATGTAATACTCGAGGTGGCTCAAAAGGCATTAAACCAGGTAGATAAATGGTGTAAGAAGGTGGGTTTATTTGGTAACCCTGGGAAAACAGAAGCTGTTATCTATACTAGGCGATACAAGTGGAAAGCCTCGCGTTCACTTGTGCTGTCTGGGAAAGAGCTTCAACTTACAGAGCAGGCAAAATATCTAGGGGTAATACTGGATAGCAAGCTGGTCTGGAAAAAGCATTTAGAGGAGAAATCTAAGAAACTTACGGTTGCTCTTTGGCAATGTAGAAGGGCCATTGGTGGTAGCTGGGGTCTTATACCGGATACACTATTGTGGATCTATGAAGCGATTCTGCTCCCTAGGCTGACCTATGCTTGTGTGGTCTGGTGGGGTAGAGTTGAATTAAAAACATCACAAACAGAATTGGAGAAGGTAAGGGGGATGGTCCTGAGAGGCATGACGGGTGCGGTGTGCACAACGCCCACTGCTGCCCTTGGTGCTCTCCTGGGGCTGAAACCCTTACACCTTACAATTAAAGCAGCGGTGGCTAAGGCTGCCTTAAGACTTTGCGGTTCTAAGGGCTGCAGAGAAGTGGGCAGATGGCGTCTCCCTAAGAATCTAGTGAGGAGGCCTCTTCTCAATATGATCAGAGACAAGATCGTCCCTTTGTACCTTTTTGATAAAAAGTACAAGATTAACATACCTACCAGAGAGGATTGGATAAATCGATTGGCTACCAATCCGGTTAATGGTGATGTCTGGTATACAGATGGATCTAAAAGCGGGAATGGGGTCGGTGCAGGAATCTATCACGTAAAATCTCAAGGGGGCCACTCGTACAAGTTAGGGCCCACTGTTACTGTGTTACAAGCCGAAATTATGGCGATATTCTATGGTGCTGTTGAGGCTCAAGAAAGTTGTCACGATAAAAATATTTTTATCCTTTCGGATAGCAATGCAGCAAATTTCTCTTTGAAACGATATGTAACAACATCACAGCTGGTTGGTGATTGCCATGAGGCTCTTAACAGATTAGCTGGAATTAACCGCGTTACCCTCTTTTGGGTTCCTGGTCACAGTGGATTCATTTGCAACGATAAAGCGGATAAACTAGCCAAAACAGGTGCTAGGGAACAATTTATTGGGCCTGACCCTCCTGTTGGTGTCTCTGGAAAATGCTTGGCCCTGGAATTTAACCAGTGGCTGGCAGTAGAGCATCAAAGGGAGTGGCAGGCAACTAAGGGCTGTAGGCAGGCCAAAATACTCTTAGGAACTAATATTAATCTCAAGAGGAAAGCGGAATTCCGCAAACTTAATAGAAAAGAGGCAAAAATCATAACAGGGCTGTTGACCGGTCATGGTGATTTGCGCTATCATAGGCATAAAATGGGGATTGTAGATGATCCTAAATGCCGTAAGCGTGGAGAGGAAAATAAAACTTCGATACACATCATGTGCCATTGTCCTGCTCTCGTGCAGGAGCGTGAACACATTACGGGCTACTTCTTTCTTGGAGAAGCCGTTATTGCCACCAGGAGCCTGGCCGAAGTCCTTTTGTTGTGGAAGGGATTTCGGATGTAGGGGTGGCTATGGGGAACGTAAAGGGATTACCCAAGCGTTGGTGGTCGTGATTCAAAGGTTTTGCGTGGCTGCAACCCCGTCCAAATAATAATAATATAATTATGCGTATATTTAGTTGTATGGTTAGGTAGGTGTTCAATCCCGTATGATTGTAAGATTTTCCGATTCGTTTAGTTGTTAATTGTAAGTATGAAAATGTGGGAAGAATAAAACTTGTGAATTAATGAATATAAATATATATATATAGTGCATTTAACATATCTTTCTTTTTTTTAATGATTGGTTATTGTTTCTTTTTATATAATATTGACGAAGTGAATGAAAGGAAACACTCGCTTCGCGTCGCGTCGGCCATTTATTCTGACAGGTTCCGCGCCTGCGTTCCTTCAGGCCCAGGTTAAAATCCCCGTACAGGATCCTTAAAGGATCCTCTCGGGATCCTGTGCAGGTCCTATGCAGAATCCCGACCGGATCCCGTACCCGTCCTGTACAGGATCCCGACCGGATCCCGTGCAGGAAATTGGAACAGGGTTCCTGTGCAGGTTCCGATGCAGGAACCTTAGCTATCAAAGGTTCCTGTAAAGGTTCCTGTACAGGAACACTTGCAGGATCATGTACAGGAAACTTTGTAAAGGTTCCTGTACAGGAACCTTTACAGTATTGTAAACTGCAAGTACTTAAGTATAAAGGATCCTGTAAGGAACCCGTAAAGGATCCTACACAGTTTCCTCAATTAATTTATTTATATTTTTAACTCCTGCGCAGTAGTTTTCTATGAGTTTCTCGAATGCGCAATACATTTTTCTGTCCAACATTGTTATACGAGCCTAACATATTGAAATATGAAGTCTATGTATGTCAAATGTTGCTTAACATATAAAAATTTAAAAAATTAAAAAGTTTCCTGTACATGATCCTGCAAGTGTTCCTGTACAGGAACCTTTACAGGAACCTTTGATAGGTAAGGTTCCTGCATCGGAACCTGCACAGGAACCCTGTTCCAATTTCCTGCACGGGATCCGGTCGGGATCATGCATAGGACCTGCACAGGATCCCGAAAGGATCCTTTAAGGATCCTGTACGGGGATTTTAACCTGGGAGGGACCGTTCAAAAAATACGTAACGCTATTTTTCTAAAATTTGGACCCCCCTCCCCCTATGTTACGCAATGTTGTATACATTAGCGCCATTTTTTCTGCTGACCGTAACAAATAGCTTGACCCCTCTCCCCCAAAAAGCGTTACGTATTTTTTGAACGGTCCCTTATTGTGAAAGTTTCGAAATAGAGCACTTAGTCCAGTTTCTCTACTATGCACACTGCAGCGCGCCTTATAATCTTCGCCTGTGTTTCAATGCTCTTTACAGTGAAATTTGGAACTAAGGCCCTCTATACACTATACGCATCACCCTAAGATGCTTGATGGAAATGAATTAATGTACTTTTACTGGACTGAGTCTTGTTTTTTCAATATTGACTCCCAGCTTTTCAAACTCTATTTTTCTCCGTGTATAAATATTATTTGATTGAAGTAAATATTTAATTAAATAGTCAATTAATCGTTTATTTGAATCAATTAAATTTTTTTTCAGTGCATAGACATGAAAATGTGTGTACGAAAACTCCCTCCCGTTACCGTTCATGAAGTACCTAAATTTTATTAAAAGAAGAGTTATTATATCTCATTATTATATTTTTTTTTTTTTTTTTTTTTTTTTTTTTTTTTTTTTATTGTTTATACTCCTGCCCTATTGGCCTTACGCACTTCGACAAGAGTCCCCGAGAAATACTTTTTTGGATTAAGCATAACCATTCTACTTTAGAAATTTTCTATATATTAACCTAATTTTGCGTCTACAGCCGACTTTATTAGGAGTACTCGCATTACGCCTGGACCACCCATCAATGGGTTTTCTCGCCAGAGAAGAGGGAAACTGTAGAAAACCTCTCTGAGTACAACCGGTTTATCGACAGTCGAGTTCTAATGGTGTGTACCGGACAATAATCGACGGTGCACATCATTATACCTCGACGTCAAACCTCCCGCTCAGATTGTCTCACGTGCCGGAAAAATACCAAGCCAAGTGGGCGCGAGCCAAGGATACTTATACCCTTGGTCCTTAAACGACCACCAACGCCAGGCACCCATCCGACTGAGCCAATCTGTCGGTCTCATTATTATATTCATATGCTTGAAACACGTTATTTGGGAGTTTTAAAAAACTGACTTCAAATTCGTAATCAGCGACGCGGGATCCCTCCAGTAACAAATTTTAATGAATTTCTATCAATTTTTAAATAATTTTAGCTGCGAAATATTTTCAACACTGGTTTTTAATAGTAATGTTAATAATTATTCTAACAACGTAATTTTTTTGGTTTATTAAGATCCCCCCTTTGCCACAGGATTAGTAATAAAAGTCACTTTTTCAACTTTTGTTTTATTAAACTATAATTCTGAATTTGTTCTTTTCTAGAGAATGACCTTTTCCTTATATAAAGATTTTTTATCAATATTGTAAATTTCATTATTGCTAGAGTGACAAGAAGAGTAAGAAGAAGTACGGAAGTTTTCACGGAGAAAAATGGAGTTTAAAAACTGGGAGTCAATATTGAAAAAACAGGACTCATTCCAGTAAAAGTACATTAATTCATTTCCATCAAGCATCTTAGGGTGATGCGTATAGTGTATAGAGGGCCTTAGTTTCAAATTTCACTGTAAAGAGCATTGAAACACAGGCGAAGATTATAAGGTGCGCTGCAGTGTGCATAGTAGAAAAACTGGACAAGGGTTCAAGGGTTCGTATTGTTTGTGGCAATCCTTCGTAGGGTCTAATACAGGTCTAATATATATATATATACACTCACGCTTAGGGCCTACCACCTAAATATAAGAACGAAATTTTAATTTAAAAATCATATCGTAGATTATTTTCCTTGGGACACGTTCTACATGTCTTCAACGAAAATTAAATTAAAAAATCTTTATAATTCACTGGTGAATTCACTCACTATATGTGAGTGAATATAAAGTTAAATAAGTAAATTATTAGTGAATACTTCGTGAATTAGTAAATAGTGATTTAGTGAATAGTAAGTATAATAGGAGAACTGCTTTATCAGTTGTACATTTCACACGTGCTTCTAACAATATCTCGATTTATAGTGAATTTGAATAACATTATCGAATTTATAAGTGCTATTTTATAGTATATTTTTCCACTTAAGTGTTAGTGCGTTGTTGAAAATTGTGTTGTACTGAGTTGTTGTTTTTTACTCCTTTTATAACATTCTGGATATTTCCTTTATCTTTGCCATGGCAGCCCTACTGAAAAAGAACGACTGTAAATACGAGCGTAAATATGACTGTGAATACGACCCTAAATATGGGCCTTAGAAGGGTAGTGTAATTGAAACAGCAAATACAGCCGTTTTTATGCCCGTGTTTAGGGTCGTATTTACGGTCATATGTGAATTCCATTTTTTAAAAAAAAATATATATATATACCCCCACAGCACCGAAAGTTTCCTAAAAATTTATTGAATATTTACTTGTAATATTCGGCATATTTAACTGAAATGTTTAGTGAAAATTGTATTTTACACAACTTTTAATAAACATTGCAATTACATATTCCGAACATTGCAAGTAAATATTTAATAAATTTTTGAGGAAAGTTTCGGTGCTGTGGGGGTATATATATATATATATATAATGAAACATCATTAATTATTATTAATTTAATATATTAAATATAATATTGCAACTAAAATAAATATTATTTAGGGTAAGTATTGAAATACGATTTATTCTTATAATAAATGCATAACAAACAAATATATAAATGTCACTTCATTTTAATCACAAACACACATATACACATGGTACAATTATTTAATACAAATTGTAATTTTTATTATTTTTATTATAAGAGGAAAAATACTTGTACGCATAATAAAAACACTTGTACATTTTTCAACAGCTAAATAAAAACCACAAATGACGCGAATCACATGTAAGTAAAGGCCAACGCAGAATAGATCTGTAACCGGAACCGCAATCGTAACCGTAAGCGTAAGAATGAGTTAGAGAAGGATAAACCTATCCTTCTTTAACTCATTCTTACGGTTACGCTTACGATTGCGGTTCCGGTTACAGATCTATTCTGCGTTGGCCTTAAGCACTGTTGTAAAAAAGGTTGGGTCTATTGGGATGGGTAGTTGCACGTAACTTGAAATATTAATACTAAATTTGTTTGTTTTTAAAATAGTGATTAAACTTTTTAATTACATTTAATTCATAAATATACTATTATTATTTCTGTTAGTATTATTATTATTATTACATTTATTATTAAGGTGCCGTCCCATGTCGGCGTAAAAACGTCAAAGCGTCGAAGTGTCGGCGTTAAAGTATGAGAGTGAACGAGATAGAGATATAAGGTTGTTTCTTTCACTCTCATGCATTTACGTTTTGACGCCGACGCTTTGACGTTTTCACGCCGACATGGGACGGCACCTTTAATATTTAAAGTTACGTGCAACTACCCATCCCTATAGACCCAACCTTTTTTACAACACTGCTTACCTACATGTGATTCGCGTCATTTGTGGTTTTTATTTAGCTGTTGAAAAATGTACAAGTGTTTTTATTGTGCGTACAAGTATTTTTTCTCTTATAATAAAAATAATAAAAATTACAATTTTTAATAAATAATTGTACCATGTGTATATGTGTGTTTGTGATTAAAATAAAGTGACATTTATATATTTGTTTGTTATGCATTTATTATAAGAATAAATCGTATTTCAATACTTACCTTAAATATTATTTATTTTAGTTGCAATATTATATTTAATATATTAAATTAATAATAATTAATGATGTTTCATTATATATATATATATATATATATATATGGGACATTCCAACGTCTCAAAATACTTTTATGAATTAAAAGCAAAAAACGAGGTAAATTATTCTGTAACTCATTCTTTATCAGTTTTTAGGGTTCCCGAATATCAATCTAAAGTTTTTTTTAAAAAATCCAAAATGGCGAATTCAATATGGCGGACAAAATTCAAATTTGATCAGATTCCATTAAAACTTGTTACTCGGGGGTTTTTAGGGTCGCTGATTACGAATCTGAAGTCACTTTTTGAAAATTCAAAATGTCGGATCTAATATGGCGGAAAAAATTTTCAAATTTGATCCGATTCCCTTAAAACGTGTTATTCGGGGGCTTTTGGGGTCGCAGATTATGAATATGAAGTTACTTTGTAGAAATTCAAAATGGCGGATCAAATTTTTTAATTTGATCAGATTTAATTAAAAAGTGTTACTCGGTGGTTTTTAGCGTATCTGATTATGAATTTGAAGTCTCAAACACAAAGTAACTTCATATTCATAATCTGCGACCCCAAAAGCCCCCGAGTAATACGTTTTAAGGAAATCGGATCAAATTTGAAAATTTTTTCCGCCATATTGGATCCGACATTTTGAATTTTTAAATAGTGACATCAGATTCGTAATCAGCGACCCTAAAAACCCCCGAGTAACAAGTTTTCATCGAATCTGATCAAATTTGAATTTTGTCCGCCATATTGAATTCGCTATTTTGGATTTTTTAAAAAAAACTTTAGATTTATATTCGGGAACCCTAAAAACTGATAAAGAATGAGTTACAGAATAATTTACCTCGTTTTTTGCTTTTAATTCATAAAAGTATTTTGAGATTTTTGGACCTTTTGACTTTTGACAGTTCTATTGGCATCGGAAATAGAATTTTGCAAAAAACGCCCATCGGCATCTTAAAGTACATGAACGTAGAAATTTTTTAAGCCCTAGAACGTTTAAATCCATCAAAGCAATTTTTGTTTAGAGCTCTGTCCGTGTTGACGTGGAATGTCCCATATATATATATATATATATACCCCCACAGCACCGTAACATTCCTAAAAATTTATTAAATATTTACTTGAAATGTTCGGAATATGTAATTGCAATGTTTATTGAAAGTTGTGTAAAGAACAATTTTCACTAAACATTTCAGTTAAATATGCCGAATATTACAAGTAAATATTCAATAAATTTTTAGGAAAGTTTCGGTGCTGTGGGGGTATATATATATATATATTTTTTTTTAAAAATGGTATTCATATATGACCGTAAATACGACCATAAATACGGGCATAAGTACGGCTGTGTTTGCTGTTTCAATTACACTACCTTTCTAAGGCCCGTATTTAGGGTCGTATTCACAGTCATATTTATGCTCGTATTTACAGTCGTTCTTTTTCAGTAGGGAGTTTGTCCGGAGTGCAATGTGGTGACAAGCAGAAGTGTTAAGGATGCTGTTGTCTGTCATAAATGTGGCAGATTAGCTCATTTTGCCTGTACAGTTATTAACAATGAAAAAAGTGTAAATAAAAAAATCTCTATCCGTTTTATTTGTAATAAATACAAAATTGATAATCATAGTGACATCTCTGATCTTCAAAGCGAACTGTCTAGTGATAATGATGGTAATCAACCTTCTAACTCGAATAATTCGGGACTATCGCCTGCAGTCTGTGAAGCAATACGGGTGGGAGTTGAGCAGGGGCAACAATCCACATTTAAGAAATTTGAGAACATGTTTGCTCTGTTTCAGGAAAAACAGTTTGCTTTTAATGAAAAGCTTAATGATACTATTCAAGGCTTAAGGGATGACATTCTGGAGAACTCAAACAGAATTTCACATCTTGAATTTGATTCGACCAACTCAACGAAAGAACTTCAAGATGCAAAAAAAAGATCTACTGAATTGGAAGCTAAAGTTTGATTTCTTGAGCGTGACTTAAGCATGCATGAACAACTAAGCCTTCAAACTTCATTAGAGATTGATGGACTTCCTTTTAAGGATACTGAAAATCTCACTTCACTATTCTGTGATGTTTCTAAAGCATTAGGTGTTAACATTAAGGATGAGGATATTTCTAATATCTATAGAGTGAAAAGAGACTTTAATCAACCTAACCATCAACAAGCTCCTATTATTCGAGTTAAACTTACCCGGCAAAATTTGAGAGATTCGGTTCTGGAACATCGTAAACGATTATCTGTCTTTTCTACTGTGAATATTGGGTGGGCGCAGAAGGAAAAATGTCCAATTTACATCAGGGAAATTCTGTCTGCAACGAATCGGAGGATATTTGCCGGTGCTCTATCATTAAGAAAAATGGGCAAGATAAAGTATCTATGGGTCGCCGGAGGAAAAATTTTTTGTCGAAAAGAGGATGGAACACCTAGAATGCAGTTGTCCAGTTTACAGGATGCCAACAAGTTTCAATAGCAACTAAGGAATGAGTGTTGCACTAATTTTCTTTTATACCTATATAAAAGTAGGGATTGCTTGTTTAAGTGTTTACTTTCCAACTTGATAAAATCATTTTATTGTCAAGATTCTTTTTTTTCAAATAACGAATTTAGTATATTTAACGGATTTCTTTTCAATTCATTTTTTGCTTAAAGTTTTGTTATTTAGTCTAATTTATTTAAACTTAATGAAAGTCATTTCTATTAATTTCTTAATATTTTTTACAGTATATTGTGGCTTTTATATTTTCAATTGTGATATTGTTGAATTTAAATTTGAAATCATAATGAACGAGTTCTCGACTATGTTTCTCAATTGTAAGCTCAAAGCTCAAATACTTGTTGTACTGTACTCTGTTTTCATAAATTAAAAATGAATATTATTAATATATGTCATGTGAATGTTCAATCTTTGAAGGCTCATATTATTGAATTTAGAGATTTTTTTGAAAATGAGTTTTATCATATAATTGCAGTCTCTGAAACGTGGTTAATTTTAAATGATGCTTCTAGTCTTGTTGCTCTTAATAATTACAGTCTTATTCGTAATGACAGATCTCTACGCAGGGGTGGTGGTGTGTGTTTTTATATTCAAAACAGTATTGAGTTTTCCTTGGTGTGTAGAAGCTCTGAGGGATTGCACCCTTGTGCAGAATTTTTGTTCCTTAAAATACAAACTAATATGGACGATGTGTTGTTGGGTGTTGTTTATAAACCTCCGAATGCATCATTCGGTAATGAAATTGAAAGTCAAATTTCGTAATTTACACAATTTTTTAATAATACCATTATTATGGGTGATTTTAATTGTAACCTCAACAGCACATCCCCCATTACGGATTATTTAACATCAACAATTTTTTCTCTTGGTTTGTCTGTGGTCCCTCATGGTACTACACACCACTTGTCAAATTCCAGTACAAGAATTGATGCCAGTTTTGTCAATGATCTCGATAGAGTTCATTCTTATAATCAACATCCAGTTCCTTTTTTGTCGAGTCATGATCTAATTAATATCAAATTTGAATGGGGAGGAATTTAGCAACATTCTAACAGGCAAGCTAATTTTATTCGTAATTTAAATAATATATCTGAAACTGAATTCCTCTCGCACATATCAACTTATAATTGGGCATCATTATTTTCTGAAACTGACATTAATTCCAAGGTGTATAAGCTCACATCATATTTAACTTCTGCATTTGATCTTTTTTCTCCCCTTTATTTATCATCAACAAAGAAAAGATATTCACCTTGGATGACCCTGCCGGAAGAATGGACTGAAAAAGTACTGAAATTTTACTGGCCTCCAGTACAATTTCAGTCCGTTTTTTTTAATGTTTCGGTAGACATTTTTAAAGTCCTTTAACAATATTTTTAAATGTAGGTTATGTCAACAAACCATTGTTAACAGTCTGGAAGTGAAAATAAAAAAGGTTAACAAAATTTTCAACGAAATTCCCGTTAAATTTTAAACTTATATTGCAACCCCTGCTTTAACAATAGACCCGCGAAAGCCTATTGTTGTATGGGATTATAATTTTATGGCTTAAAAAGTTTACAATTTAAATAATTAAATTTTCAAAACAAAAAAATTTGAATCTGATGTTTTATGATTACAAATATCTAAAATTCATTATAAGAAATGTTTAATTAAAAAAGTTATAAACTATCTCGCAAACTCTAATTGTTACGTAAAAACGGATATTATTTTTGAATTTAGATTGCAAGAATATTTAGCATACCTAATAAATACTTGTAAAGAATCTGAGTTCATGAAAAACAAATATAATGTTGAAATATAAATAAAAATTATTTTTAACATTAACAAAGAAATATTCGTCCTTCAACTTAATGACGGTCAGGCCATAAACATTACCGATAGCGACCCTTTTGCAGGTAATTTTTCCCAGTACAATTTCAGTGCTGAAACGCAGCAAATTTTCACTGTAATAGCACTTAGCTCTCAATACTAATTCCCCAGTACAATTTCAGTCCATTGTTCCGGCAGGGGACTGATGATTTGAGAAAACTTATTAAAGAGTGGAATAGGATTAGAAGAGTTTTTATAAGAACTAAAAATAATGATGATTATGTAAACTATAAAAAAATTCGTAACTTAGTTAAAACCAAGATCAGAGACGCTTATAATAAATTTAATTATAATACATTAAAATACAAAAGTACGTCCGGTGATATATGGTACACTCTCAGAAAACTCAACCTTATTCCTAATAATAAAAAATCTTTTGATAACAGTTTCCAACCACAAGAATTTTTAGATGTCTTTTCTAATGACCCTATTCCTATTCCCACATCTGTTTCTGGTTCCTCCTTTCCTTCTATAGATATTATTGACGAAAATAAAATTTTTTTTGATGATATATCACCGGATACCTTATTAAAATGCCTTAGTGGTGTTAAGTCTAATGCAATGGGTCCAGACTGTATCTCTATTAAAATGTTAAAAATTGCTCTTCCAGTCATTTTTCCTGTACTATTACATATTTATAATTATTCACTCCAGACTGGGATTTTTCCGGATATTTGGAAAATGAGCAATATAATTCCTATACCTAAAATTCCAAATCCGAAAAGTCTTGGGGATTTCAGACCGATTTCTAATATTTGCACATTATCAAAACCTTTTGAACAAATAGTTTGCAGCCAAATGACATCTTTTTTATCGAGTAACAATTTGTTGGAGCCGTTTCAGTCAGGTTTCAAAAAGAATCCCATTTCTAAATGGGATAGACTTAAATGTGGTGTACCGCAAGGTGCCTCACTCTCATCTTTATTATTTAATTTATTTATCTCTGATCTCGGACGCAAACTTAGTTATCGCAAATATCATAAATATGCAGATGATTTTAAAATATATATTTCTGGACCAATGTCATCTCTTCCTCAGCTATTACAAAATTTACAAGTCCATATTAATTATGTTGAAGAATGGGCAAAGAATAATGGTTTTGCTCTCAATTCTAGTAAGACTCAAGCCATGATTTTCTCAGCGTCAAATAGTCCAACTAAGGAATACTTGACAACTCTTCCACCTCTTATAGCAGGAGGTATTCCCATTGCATTTAGTGATACTGTAAAAGATCTTGGTATTACGCTTGACCGCTCCTTGACTTGGAAGGAACATGTCCTTGGAATATCGCGAAAAAATAACATTATACTGCAACAGTTGAATAGAAATAGAGAATCAATTCCAACCTCGACTAGATCCTTACTAGTAAAAACATTAATATTGCCCATTTTTGATTATTGTTGTACTGTATATGATGACATAACTAAAGAACTAAATTATAAGCTTGAAAGATCATTAAATGCTTGTATATGATTTATTTATGGTTTGCCTAAATTTGAGCATATCACAGCATATAGAATTGAGACCAGGCTATTAAGTGTTGCAAGTAGGAGACAATATTTTCTTGGATCTTTACTATTTTCTATTTTTCATAATCAGTGTCCAACATATTTAAATATGAACTTTTTGATTTTAAATATCAAAAAGAAACAGCGAGTATTAGGCTTCAAGAACGTAATCGAGTTTTAAACATTCCTTCTCATCGTACTTGTATAATGCAAAGATCATTTATTATCAGAGGTGCGAGATTATGGAACAAGCTACCAATTGAAATTGGAGTCTCGTCGACTCATTTTGTATTTAAGAAACTTTTCTTCAATTTTATTTTTAATTGCGAGAATCAATTATTCAATATAACATATTGGTAAATTAGATATTATTTCATTTAATGGATTGATTTATTTATGTATCATAGGTATTTTTAGGGTTCCGTACCCCGATAGGAACCCTATTGGAACGGTTACAAAAATGACCATGTACCCCCCCTAGCACTCACAGTTTTACACCTAGAGAGCTAAAATTTCGTACACGTATGTATTTTCACGCGTAGATTACAGGAAAAATATAGCGAACGTGATTGGAGTTGATTTTCATAGAGTTTTCCGCGAAAAACATCAAATTTTGTCCGTTTTTCGCAAAAAAAGCCATGTACCCCCCCCTGGCGCTCACAGTTTTTTACCTAGAAAGATGAAAATTGGTATGCACATGTATTTTCAAAAATGGATTACAGGAAAAATATAGCGAACTGTTAGGTTTAAATTCGATTGTTTGAATTTATTATTAAAAAAGAAAGTTTGTAAATTAAATCGAATTTAGACTTAACTGTATCGAAAAGAGATTTTCGATAAATTTTTGAATAAAAGAAAATACTCAGTATTTATATCTTTAGAAATAAAACCTTAAATTCTTTAAAGTAATAATAATTATTATTATTAGAATTTAATAAAGGATCCCCCCTTTAAGTGCACTATTACTTCAGTGCCTCCGATTAGACGGTACTTTAATTGAAAGAAGTAAAAAAGGAAAAGGTGGCAACAGTATAACAACTGTAATAAAACACTAAATGTAATATGAGTGGAATGTAATATACTCAGTTTTATTAATTTTAATGCATTGAAATTAATATAAAATCTTACAAATGTTCAAGATTTTTAATTCCCCTTAAAATCTTTTATGCTTATAACAAGTAATAATTATTATTGTAAAATATCCCTTCTTAATAAAACATGATCTATTTGAATTCTCAAATCGTGTATAACAATACAACTTTTATGATAACTTAACTATTATTTGTTGCATACAAGATTATTTTTTGTATATATATTTTTATACGTGTAGAATATGGTTATGTGTATAAATGTTTACTTACAATTACTTACTTACAATTTTATTAATTTTTGTTCAAGTACAGAAAAGTATCCTGTTACTTTTCTCAAGTGAATCACTCAGATTCACACCTGGGACAGGTTCCTTATATGAATTATTTCTTCCTCTTTTTTAATTATTTTCTTCGTATTTTCCTTCAATTGTTTCTTTTTTGTTTCTAGTTCCTTATTATTACACAGGCCAACAATATTTTGTTGCCCAACCAATGGAAGCCAATTCTTATAGGATTTTGTCCATAGAATCCGAATTTGACCTTGAAAATATTGGATTGGC